GCGTACGGAGAAATGGAACAATGCATCTAAAAGTCAGCAGGCACCTTAAAGAAAGGTATCAGTACGGGATATGTCCACCATATGGAGTGTGATGCAACATTCCACACGTCGTACCATACTTTGCACAACATTATCCAGCAGCTGTTGAGGCAATTTATGCCATTCCTCTGTGAGTGCACGGATGAAGGTGTTTTTGTTTGTCGGGGGATAGTTTCGACCAGCAACTTGCCTCCCCAAAGCATCCCACACATTTTCAATGGGGTTTAGATCTGGAGAACGCGCTGGCCATACGAGACGTTGAATACCCTCGCTGTCTAGACAATCTTGAACAGCGAGTGTTCGATGACATGTTGCGTTGTCGTCCATAAAAACAAATTTATCACCGACAGCACCACGGAAAAGACGAACATGAGGAAGTAGAACTTCATCAATGTATCGTTGGCCCGTCATAGTCCCATTCGCAACCACATGTAGGCGCGTGCGGCCATTGATCATGATGCCGGCCCACACCATGATACTGCATGTCGGAAATCGGTCCTTTTCCTGGATATTTTCTGGACGATAAGCAGTACCACTCTCGCGCCAGATCAGTTGGCGTCTACAATCCGATGACAGACTGAACCTACTCTCATCTGAGAATAGTACGCATGCCCAGCCCTGTTCATTCCAATTGTGATGCTCACGACACCATTGCAAACGGGCAGTACGGTGCTGTCTGGTCAATGGGACACACACAACAGGTCTGCGTGCGTATAGTCCTCCTCCCCTCAAACGTCTGACAACAGTTTTTCGGGAGATCTGCTTGCCTGAGGCAGCAAGAAACTGATTTGCCACCTGCTGAGCTGTGGTGTGCCTGTTCCTTTTGCTGATAGGAGGATATATCTGTCTTCTGCAGGCGTCGTACTTCTAACACGACCTCCCCGTGCCGTCTACTACACATTCCAGTAGTTTTAAATGACTTCCACAGCCGTGAAACAACGCTGTAAGCGATGTCGAACTCCCTGGTACCATCTGTTATTTTTCACCCTTCTTCGATCTTTCCAATAATTCGGCCACGCATAAAATCATCTATGTGATGTCGGGAAGACATGCCAAAAATTTTAAGTTCGTCTATTAAATCTTTCCTGTAAAACTTTGACTTGAAACAACAACTGTCCACACGCGTCAAAACCTTTAAAGCTCTTATGAACGCTATCGCGTGATGAACAGACGTAAAAAAAAATTTTGCATACTCATACTTCTTCTTACTAATATCCCGCACTTATTCTAATTTTCCACATTTTGCTTCCTTTCATTTTGTGGTTGCTATGGATGATAGTGTTATCCGTCCTTAGCAATTGTCCAGCAGAGTAGTTTTTGTTGCACTAATATTTTTAAATTAATTTCATATGTATGTTATGATTCAAGTGACACTAAATATAAAAAAAAAAGAAATATTCATTTTCACGCTATAGCATAGTGTTTCTCAAACTGTGGGGCGCACCCCCTTAGGGGGCGTGACAACTCTACAAGGGGGCGCGAGCCTATTGAAAAGTTGAAAACAAAACATTATTTAAAATATTATTAACTTACTGAAAGTAAACAAACGGAATACATTCTGACATAATAAAAAATCAAATACACATTTACACTGATAGATTACATTTATAAATATATCAGTGCTACACAATGTATTTTGAAATTAATTCCACAATTCTAAGTTAAAAACAAGTTTGTTAATTACAAGTGACCCTACATGGGTTTGTCATATATATAATTTACAGCAAAAATTAACACTTATCTTGATCCTTTTTATACGGTTTATAATTAAACCTTGACTGTGCCGATCATAAGTTTCGCGATTCGCTTCCAAATGCCAACCGTTTTCCACGTAGGCACACGTATGTGGTGTATTGGGGGAAGGGAGAGGAATAATGGAGCAAAAATAATTTGGAATAAGTAAATCCTTCGCAAACATTGTCAATGTCCTTTTATTGCATTCCAAAGTCTTGAAATAATTTTACGGATAGCAGTGCACGGAAAAAAATAGTACTTCGGTAAGACGTATATATACGTCTAGATAAATAAAAACTTTGGCTTAGCAAGACGTTTATATACACGGGTGTGTGTTTGTGCTTAAGAGGTTAAAGTCGTGTCGTAGTTTTAGCGTCAAATTATAGTATTATTGAAATCAGTTCATTGTTATTGTATGGGGGCGATGAAAATAATGATTGAATATTGGGTCGCGAGTATTGCAACTTTGAGAAGCACTGCTATAGCAAACGTAGTCAGGTGTCTTAAAAATTAATTTTTTACATTTAATTACACTACGTATCTAGTTTATCATAAATTATATATTAAAAAACCGTGCATTGAGAAAACACAGAATTTAATAGAAAATACCATGGTACAATAAAAATTGTAAGAAAATGAGGATAAATTTCTCAAGTACATACAGTCGGACCTCCATTTTACGAATCTCTATTTAGTGAATTTTTCTTGAACCCAAGAACATCTTATTATTTTCTTCCTAAAATAATTTGAAAATAGCGAAGTGCATTTTCTATTTAAGGAACTTTTTTTCTTGAGTTTTTAGGTTTTCTTCCTATTTTACAAACATTTCAGGGCCTTTCAAATTACTCTCACTTTTAGCACATTTTATGGTCATCAATGATCTTGAATTGGTTGAACCAGGTGCCTTACTCACCGAGAGCAATAAAATTGTCGCAATTTTTCAAACAAAATTGTCAGGTTTTATTGTTGATTTACTTTAAGAACACATGCGGTAGTGTATGTTAACACTACCGTTTATGAAATAATGCATGTTTAAAAATACTTGTAGGCTTAAACTTAGAAAATATCATTAAAATTCATTAATTTTAATATAAAATTATTTTTCAAAGTTGAAATTACAGCCTATATCTGGCCAATTTTTTTCTTGTTTTCCTTACATATTTCGATTTAATGGGCAAGATATATAATATAAATATAGTATATAGATATATATATAGATATATAATTTAATACAGACAAATAGTAACAACAATGAAGCAAATTTTCTTCACATACATATCAAATTAATAGATAATGTAATAGTTTCTAATATTTATGATAAAAGAGAAGATTTTAATTTCAATATAATAAAAGTTCCGCATTGGGAGAGTAATGTACATATTTCTATATTTAGAAATATTATTATTAATTATATACAGCGCAATAAATTTCTAGTGTAAAAAAACTAGAAATAATAAATAACTATAAACATTTTACTAAATATTGCTTAAATCAGAAATACTCAATTCATTTTATTAATAGTTATATGAATAAAGCTATTCAATATTGTAAGGATTAAAAATTCTTAGATTAATTATAGTCTAATACTCTAAATTTACATGTTTCATAGTTATAGATACCTACATATTCTATTATTAGTTAAAATTAATTATCATTTAATTCATATATACTCTAGTGTCTCAAAAGTTATGGTTTTTCGTAACTCTTTTATTAATTTTTGTTTTCTAATCTTTTTATACTTTTGTTAAGGGCTACATTTCAGCCATTCACATGCTTTGAATCTGCATTAGGTTCCAGAATCTGGCAATAACTTATTTATTGCACTCAGATTTAGCACGGGCTCTGCATTTTCAAGTGCAATTTTCAGGTAAGTTACCTCTATTTTGTAATGGATTTAGATATTCCTATCCATTACTTTCAATAGGTTTTTGCTCAGTATTATTTACATAAAGGGGGAAGGTTGGCTGGCCAAAAAACATGTTCAACCTCACTTTTATACAATTTATATATTAGCTGTCCTAAGTCAGCAATGTTTATAATACTGTAGCATCCATTTTATAATTTTTAATCTAGTGTCCTTCATTGTATGTTCTCTTTACTGTCTGTGTTTTTTTCGAATGTGATTGGTGAATGTTTATCTCTTGTCTGTAGAGAATTAGACTATATATATATATATATATATATATATATATATATATATATATATATATATGAAAAAAATATGTATTATATATCAAAAACAAGAAATAATAGATAATGAACATAACAAGAAATAGCGTAATAAAAATATAAAAGCTGAACATGAAGAACAAAATTATAGAGAAGTAAAAAAGAAACTACAAAAAAGAAGAACCTAGCGAGTCAGAAAGCAATTTCGAACTTAGGACCGAATAAGTGGGGTTAAACTAGTTTGAAGGCGCCAACCTTCCCCCTTTGCAACTCGGTAGGAAAAACCAAATAAAATAAAATAAACAAAAATTCAGAGTATGTAAAAACTCAGAGAGTATGATAAAACCACTCACTACTATTATGTAACAAACTCTGCCAAACTCTTAATGCAGAAAAATCGCAAAACAAATACGTAAGAAAAGTAGAAAAATCCTAAAACAATTACATAAGATAAGTATTTTTCAAAAAATAATTTAACAAAATTTCTTTACTCACAGAGCTTTTACGAATAGAATCAAGCATCTTGACATCAATGAAAATCAATTATTCACCAAGTTAAGAAATTCGAATATACATAAACATAAACACATCTTTTGAGCTAACTTTTAAACCAGCCAGCAAAGACAGATATAAAAAAAGACGACAATCAAATATGGTAGAATTTGAATTGGTTGATTGCCAAAAATGTAAATTTGCTAGGCTCTAATTTGGTTGTGTATATATATATATATATATATATATATATATATATATATATATATATATATATATATATATATTATATATATATATATATATATATATATATATATATATATATATATATATATATATATATATATATATATATATATTGTTCAATTTTTCAATCGTTAATAAACAGTTTCTATTCATCCATTCAAGTTCAAATACTTTTTTAAACTTATAGTAGATGACACTTGATGTTAATACAGTTTGTTTCAAATACTAATTCATTCATTAAATTAAAAAATGAATAAATAGAAACAAACAAAAATAATAGTTCAACAGCATATATAGAGAGGAAAATCATTCGTTGAGTTCCTGTAGCGCAATGAATAGCGCGCGTTGGACTTCTAATCCAAAGGCCGCGAGTTCGAATCCCGCTTGGGATGGCATAATTTTTGAGAAAGTGATTTCTTTTTTCCTACACTATTTTATTAGAATAATTTAATTTAATTTAATTAATGAATAAACAGTAACAAGCAAAGAAAAATAGTCCAATACCCTATATCAGCGTTTCTCAAACTGTGGGGTGCGCCCCCTTGGGGGGGGAGGCGTTATATTCATGCAAGGAGGACGCTGGCTTATTAAAAAGTCGAAAATAAAAGATTTAAAATAAGTATTAATATACTGAAAGGAAGCAAAACAAAATATGTGATATAATAATACACTGAAATAAAATTCTTGTAAAGGTATCAGTACTTCACAATGGTTTTGATAGTTAATTTATTAATATTAAATTAAAAACAAGCTTGATAATTACTGGTGCTTCTCATGGGCTTGTCATGTACATAATTTAATACTTATTTTGATAGTTTGTATGGTTTGTAATTAAAGTCATATCGTAGCGTTAGCGGTCAAAGTATATTTTTATTGCTTTCAATACATTATTATTGTATGCAGGGGGGCGCGATGAAAATTATGATTGAAAATTGGGTCGCAAATATTGAAAGTTTGAGAAGCACTGGCCTTTATAGAAAGGAAAATGGAAAATTGTAAGCAAAATCGCTTTCTATTTTGGCACTTAATAGTATGATCCTGTCATATGTACATACATATTTATATTAGTTGTAACGAGTGGCGCACACAGGAATTTTTCAAGGGGGAGGAGGGGGTCCGGGATCGAAAGTTCACCATTCTTGTATCATGCTCCGTTTGATTTTGTCGATTTTCGGGAACAAAACACAGTAAAAAACTAGTTTTTGTATAAATAATTAGCATTAATTAATAAAATTAATCATTAATAACAAGTAATTAATTAAATTTTACGTACTATATACTTAGAATTATAATCAATCGGAAAAAAAATCAAGGGCTATGTCCGGACCCCAGGACCCCCCCTTGTGTGCGCCACTGGTTGTAACTATTTAATAAAAAGTAGCTAAAATAAAAATTTTCTTAGTTCATCTAAGTAGGAATCGACTTAATTTTTTTATATGTATATAAAAAAAAAAAAAATTGTTTGTAACATTTTTGACAATACCGAGGGAAGGCATTCCAAGGAAGGGGAAATATCATCACTAAAACGATTCCATTTTACCTTAGGGTATTTTTTTTTTACAAGACTTCATGTTATGCTAATTGCATTCAGGCATCGACGCGAATCAAACCTCGAAAAATACAAATTTAACTCATCGTGTACGTTTTCGATTTCCAAATTTAGCCATGACAAAGGCACTTTGCATATTTAAAAATAGAGCGACGTGGGAAAAAGGCAAGGTGCGTGTCCGGGGCGACGCGTGGGGCCCGCGAGGTGTCAAGAACCGCGGGCGTCACCACATTGTCTGAGCAAGCAAACACGACAAGGAATGCACTGGAGATTAGAGCCGATGTCTCACTGATCGGCAGAATGGCGCCCGGGAATTTGAAAGATAATGGACGCTGGGGAAATGGTTCGAAGTTCAATGTCTAAAATGATTCGAATTACGAGTTCTTTCTTTCCCCAAACCCTGATAATTTTTGGCAAGCGATGAAGCTAATGGTTCTCTCTCTTTTCCAAAGATATCTTTTACTTGAAAATTTTGCATTGTGTGTATGTAGAATGTGTAGTGAAAGTACTCTAGATAACAAGTAATATTAAAAAAAAATTTATTTTTTTTGAGTCAATTCCAACTTAGGTCAACAAAGAAAAATTTTATTATAGTTAAATTACTTTTTATTAAATAGTTACAATTAATATAAATATTCAGTGGCGCAAACAAAGGGGGGGTCCTGGGGGACCGGACCTCCCCCCCAAAGACCTAGATTTTTTTTCAGATTGATTATAACTCTAAGTATATAGTACGTAAAATTTAATTAAGTATTTGTTATTAATGATTAATTTTATCAATTAATGCTAATTATTTATTCAATAATTAGTTTTTACTGTGTTTTGTTCCCGAAAATCGATAAAATTAAAAGGAGCATGATACAAGAATGGTGAAGTTTTGACCCCCGACCCCCCCCTTGAAAAATTTCTGTGTATGCTACTGTAAATATTCCATGTAAATATGACAGAATCATAATATTAAGCGACAAAATAAAAAGTGATTTGCAATTTTCCATTTTCCTTTCTATATAGGGTGTTGGACTACTTTTTTGTTTGTTTGTTACTATTTACAAATTAAACTCAAACTTAGTGGCACAACAGCTCATGAGGGTCAGAGTTTACTGTGCCCATCCCAGTATACGTGACCATTGAGCGCTGGTGCATGAGCAGATGTTCCGATCAGGTGGTCAGTCTGAAGCGAGCTAATATGCAAAGGTGTGTTTGTTTACTTTAAATCGCATTTTCTCTCAACAGCGTAAATTACAATACAAAGGGAACATTTCCAAAAATTCTACTAAAGCTTTGAAACTTTTCACAGACATTTATACTATATAAATGAGTATTTTGATGAGAGATTGTGTCGAAGAAGTTATTGAAAAATTTCAGGGTTAAGATGAGCAAGAATTTTCATCGCGTGGAAGCTTTTACCATATTACTCCACATATGAAAGTTTAAAAATAAATAAATAAATAAATAAATAGATAAATAAGAAATAAATAAATAGAAAATAAATAAATAAAAAATAGATAAATAAGAAATAAATAAATAGAAAATAAATAAAAAAAAATAGATAAATAAGAAATAAAGAAATAGAAAATAAATAAATAAAAAATAGATAAATAAGAAATAAAGAAATAGAAAATAAACAAATAAAAAATAAATAAATAAAAACTTTAATAAAAAATAAAAAGAAAACCACACAAAATTTTCAAAAATGATCTCATTAAAATAATAATAATAATAATGTAATAAATTCACATAAAAACTTGCTGGTTGCACAACGCCAATTTTTAAAAAAATGTTCCTCTCAGTCCTTTCTTACTGCATAGAGAGAGAGAGAGAAAATGCTTCATGAATTGGCCCCCTTAAGTTACATCTAACTGAAGTAGTGGTAACTATAATAATAGTTCTATAAACAATGTATGTCGAGGTAAGTTATTTTTCAAAATTATTTCTTGCGAAAAAAATATTTGCGCGTTCACGAACATTGAGAGGAAAACATTAACCTCTACAAAATATGAAAATTTAATTCAAGTCACACTAGATATTTCTCTCTTTTTTTCTCTTATCCCAGTAGATATCGAGAATAATTTGTGTTAGGGAATCCCCACATTTGAGTTTCGATCATGAAATGCAACAAAGCAGAGCCTTTTAATTTTAAAATGGCCATTTGCCATACATACAGTCGGACCCCGATTTGACGAACTTTGCGATTAAGCGAATTTTTTCTTTTCCCCGATTAAAAGGGAGTCAACCCCCCTATTTAACGAATAATAAACCCCGAATTAACGAATAATTTAAAAAAAAACAAAATTTTTTTATTAGTTTGGATAAGAAAAAAAAATGGATTTCTTTCCAAATGACATCCTTTTTTGCTGGGAACAGAAAAAGACTTTTCTTGTGAGTGGAAAATTTTGACAGCCAAGGGTGATGCCCATTATTCGACTTTACAGCTGTAGATGAGTCCTGAGTGTAACTTACCACGTGAGTTTTGAATAGGATAGGAAATTCTTTCATCTCATCCCATTCCCCAATGCAAGGGATATTTTAGACACTTTATCCTTTGCTCTCTTTCTTGAGAGAAGTGCGATTTATTACACGAAGAAAACTTTGTTTTCGAAAATTTTTATAAGCATTGAAGATTGTTGGAAACAAAGGGGTAACGAGGGGTACAATGTGACTTTCAAAACTGTTATATTTTCTAATTTTTTGCATTTCTTGGAAACTGTGAAAACTAATTTCATGCAGCAAGATGTAAAGAAGATAATATTTTCTCTGCGTAAATTTGAAAAAGAACTCTTTCGAGTCGGGAATCGAAAAGATTGTCAAACGTCTGTTAGTTAATATTTTAAAATTTCCAATGAATGGTGCGTAATAATTTGCTAATAGTATTTTTATCTGATGAATAAAAAGTGTGTAATTCCTAACTATGGACATTTTTTGCGTAGTTTCTTATTATAGAATTTCCAAAAGATAAGTGCAAAAAATTATATTTTTTTGGACCTCGATATTACGAATAACCCCGATTTGACGAATTCATCGAACATCTTATTCGTGAAATCGGGCTTATTCGTATATATTTGTATCGTCTTCTAAGAAAAATAGGTTAAGAAATGGGTATAACAGAGAAAATAAAATATAACTTATAAACCTAAAATGTGAAATTTGAAACTATTTTTAAAACATGAAAAATGCCGAAGAGTGCTGAGCTATTTAAAGCCTTTTTGGCAGTTGCCTCAGAAACATTTGAATGAATAATGCATTTTCTTGAATTATCTAGGAGGCCTTTGTTTACAATGTATTTTAGTACTTTAGGTGTTGATAGGAAGATGACTAAGATACATTAGACTATTCATTCACCAAGGTTATAAAAACGGGTGAATTTTCTTAAAAAATTCTATTCTTTTTTACAGGCATTTTAAAGGAGGGTATGTCAAGCCGTTTAACTTAATATAATGTTTGTTTCATCTTGGTTTATCCGAATACTTTAAAGTCTCTCTAAGGAGTGGGTTCAATAATTTTCTGCTTGTAATAAACACTTTTTAGACAGTAAGAATTAGATCCATTTTGACGGGCTCACTCGTCTTTTCAGTAACATGTTCTTTGGGTTCTTTGGGGACAGAATTAATGACAATTCTCTTCTAACCAAACCCAAGAAGTGAAGCACGAAAGAAAGATGCAAATTAGGAAGCTTTTAAATATCAGAAGTTAGAGTAAGATGTGTGGCAAGTTGAGGAATGTTAGGAAAATCCGTGATTCAAGCGTGAAGAAGTTTTGGAAAGATTGAAAGACAACTAACAGAAGTTATTCGCGACAGAGAGTCATTAGGTCAAGGTGCATACCATTGCACTCCAGTAAATCCGC